CCAAGACTTGGGCCAAAAGCCGTGGGAAGTACGTGTTGTGGCCGCCCGCAACAGTGTATACTCGCAGTCTTCTGTACAGAGGGATTGGCGCCATGCGTTTCACAGTAACGGTATGCTCCCATCCCAACATCTGATGTCCAAAAACCTAGGGCTTGATTGTGAGCATAGCCTCCGAAGCTGCTAGCTGTTGGGTTTCGCATCGATGTCTTTATGTTTTCCAAGACTTGGGCCAGAAGCCGTGGGAAGTACGTGTTGTGGCCGCCCGCAACAGTGTATACTCGCAGTCTGGATTGCACTAACGACAGCTTGTGGCAAAAACATGCGTAGCAATCGGACACACACGAGCTCATGTGTGTTGTGTTGTTTGCGTGCGTGTGTCTGCCAGCCCAGAGCAGTAGATTGCAGCAGCCTGTTTGAGCACCGTCGGGGGTGCGCGATGTGCTGGATGATGCTGTGACAGCATGTAACCTTTGTAGGGTTGGTTTACACATCTTTCAAGCGCACATTTCGAAGGAAGACAACAGACAGACAGCTACCACATCTTAGGAAGGCAGCAAGTACAGACAAGCACAGGCAAGCACACACAGCCGGACGCCGCAGGGCAGTGAGGCCCGGCCCCAAAGACAGAGGTTCAGGGGATTTTGGGCTGATGGTGTTTTGGGGTTCAGGGCTCAGGTTTCTAAGCAAAAGTCCAGCGTCGGCACCACAGCTGTGGACTTTTGAGGGCTGAGAGCTGGAAGTAAAAGCTTGGAGTCCGTAATGCAGCTCAGGATTTTTTGGGGGTTTCCCTGCCGCAGAGATATCCAAGCTCCATCTGGAGTCACCTTGTAGAGCCGGAATTAGATGCGGGCTGCTTTGGCCGGCCCCCTTCTCAGGGGGCTTTTTCGCTCCTTCACTGTCTGCTCTTCCTATCATTGAATCATTGAGATGCAGAATAGCCCAAACCCAGAGACTCCAAAACCCTTTAACTAAGGAATACAGTTTAAATTAGACAGGAACCCTAATTAGATTTACGGTCAATTCCTTAATTCAGGGGTTTTGGAGTCTCTGGGAAGTGTCGGAGTGTTCACCCGCCAATAGAGATCTGAGCGCTGCTTTAAACCGCATCAGACACGTTGGTTGTCCTGGATGCTGTGAGAGTAATCGACGTCAGTACGAGAGAAGCACATCTGAATGTTCTTACTGTGGTTTGCTGAAAAGGCTGCGAAGCTATCATCTGGACGGCACGCCTCTCAGTAGCCCAGACCCAGAGACTCCAAAACCCTTTAACTAAGGAATACAGTCTAAATTAGATAGGAACCCTAATTAGATTTACGGTCAATTCCTTAGTTGAGGGGTTTTGGAGTCTCTGGGAAGTGTCGGAGTGTTCACCCGCCAATAGAGATCTGAGCGCTGCTTTAAACCGCTTCAGACACGTTGGTTGCCCTGGATGCTGCGAGAGTAATCGAAGGGAAGCACATCTGAATGTTCTTACTGTGGTTTGCTGAAAAGGCTACGAAGCTATCATCTGGACGGCACGCCTCTCAGTAGCCCAGACCCAGAGACTCCAAAACCCCTTAACTAAGGAATGCAGTGTAACTTAGACAGGAACCCTAACTAGACTTACGGTCAATTCCTTAGTTGAGGGGTTTTGGAGTCTCTGGGAAGTGTCGGAGTCTTCACCCGCCAACAGAGATCTGAGTGCTGCTTTAAACCGCATCAGACACGTTGGTTGCCTTGATGCTGCGAGTAATCGAAGTCAGTACGAGGGCACATCTGAATGTTCTTACTGTGGTTTGTTGGAAAGGCTACAAAGCTATCATCTATTCAAGCGCTTGGAAACTCGTTGGATGCATTTTGGTGCTTGGTAACACACTGTTCGTGCGATGTATGGCATCTGCTAATGCGCGCAACACATTTTGCCAAATTTCTGAAACATCGCAGCCGAAAGCCGTATCTAAGGTTGTAGCTGGACGTTTCAAGCGCTTGGATACTCGTTGGATGCATTTTCGTGCTTGGTAACACACTGTTCGTGCGATGTATGGCATCTGCTAATGCGCGCAACACATTTTGCCAAATTTCTGAAACATCGCAGCCGAAAGCCGTATCTAAGGTTGTAGCCGGACGCTTCAAGCGCATGGATACTCGTTGGATGCATTTTGCTGCGCGGTAACATACGGCTCGTGCCGGATATGGCATTTGCGAAGGCGAGAAACATGCTATGACAAATTGGTTGAAACATCGCAGCCAAGGGCGGTATCTAAGGTCCTAGCCGGACGTTCTACCCGTTTGGATGTTCGTGGATGTATTTTGGCTCTGGGTAACACAGTACTCGTGCTGCACAGGGGATTTGCTACTGCGCAAAACACTGTTGGCCACATTTGTCAACCATCGCAGGCACAAGCCGTCTCTAAGGTCGTAGCCGGATTTTTTTGACAAGTTGCTACAACATCGCAGCCAAAAGCCGCATCTAAGGTCGCAGCCGGATGTTGCAAGTGTTTGGGTGTTCGTCGGATGTATTTTGGCGCTTGGCAATACACTGCTCGTGCATGTATGCAAAACGATGCATGTGACAGCAGACCGGATTGCATGTCTAACATGTGGGAGACTATTTATCGCTGCTCGTGGAGAAGAGTCAGATTGGGAGGCACCTTTGCCCTTGAATGCAGAAGCTGAGAGTGCCATATGCACGCTGTGCATCAGTCATCATATCGAAGTGACGGCACTCCCCTTACCCCCACAAAACAAAGATGAAGTTACAGGTTCATGAGCTCAAATCTCTGCAAGCCTGTGTCGTCTACGTTTGTTCAGTTGCGCCTAAATGTGCTTTGCGGGCGTGCTTCCGCAATTCGGAAGTGTTGGCAAAGACTCAGACTTTGCCCCGTTGCTCTAACGCTTTGTTGAGGCATGATGTGCTTGTGGATTCCGCGGTCATGCAAATCGAAATAAAGAGCTTGGAGTTTAGACTGCTTCGGGCTTGCTGCAGGCTGTTACGTTGCGCATCCTGTTCAATGGCCTGGAAAGCAAGAGCGGCGTTCTCAAAGACTTTTTGCGCTGTTCAAAGCTGCGAACGTGACATTCATCTTTGTTCCGGTGGGTACGGGAGGGCCGGGGAAATATGCTGTCTGCAAAGACCCCGTGTTGTGCAGCCGCAGGCGTCTGGCTATGCAATTAGCAAAATCAGTCGGACTCACAGGACGTGGAGCCATGGCGGCGAAGGGGTCCATGGCATGTCTTCTGATGGGCGGTTGACTGCTGGCAGCACCTCCAGCTCCAATAGTAGCTCGTCTTCGGACTCATCTGCGGCCCCGGACTCCTGCGACGAAAGCTCTGAAGTCTCTGAAGTGAGCCTTGCCGCGCATGATGATGTTTTTGCTGCGGAGCAGAGCAGTTCTGAGGAGGCTGACGGCCCTGTGGATCAGTTTGCGGATTTGCGATGTGTGACTAAGCAAATCAAGCCGCTTGGCAAAGAAGTTGGAAGGAGCTTTGTTTTCGGAGAAACTTGTTGCTGTGTCGGGCCGCGTAGTTTGTGTCAGGTACGCAGGAAGCACAGTGCACTTCTGGACGTTTCCTCACTCGAACAAGCCAGATGCCATTACTGCCACGGATCATGGCAAGAAATGCTTGGGCAAGGCTCTGAAGCAGGTGTACGGTGCAGATTCCATTGCGTACTACTGCGTTGTGGCAGAGCAGCATGCCAGCTCTTCACGAAGATGGGAGAGAACATGGCATTGGCATGCAGTGCTAAAGCTGAGTCGTCGTGTGAAGTGGAAAGCTGTGGCCAAGAACTTGCGGGAGCGTGGCTTTTATGGCCGCCTGGCTTTGCCACAGTTCCATGCTGATATATGGCGCATTCTTCGCTATGTACTTTGTCCGAGCTTCAAGAAAAGCCATTCTGAACTCGATGGCGATCCTTACTTCTCTTCGACCTTCCCCTTGGAACAGATGGAAAGCAAGATGCGTAAGTATTCGAGTGCTTCTTTCCGGCCAAGTGACATGTTCAATGCGCTTCGGAACTTGCGTCCACGGTTGACTTCGTACCAGGAGCTCATAGAATGGGCTGAGCAGCAGCGTCAGCGTGGCAATGGCAAGTTCCAGGAGTTCATGGCGCGGCAGGGGCCGAAGATGCAGCCCCTGTTCTTATCCTGGCAGATGATGTTGACAGAGACAACCACGCCCAAACAACGCGAGGAGCGTCTGCGGCTTTGGGCAGCTGCCAGTCAAGAGGCTTGTGTGTGCTATGAGCCCTCCAGGTTGCGCGAAGCTTTGGACAACTTGTTGGAGCATCATGGAAAGAGTGCAGGCAGGTTCGCGTTCTGCATCCTGCGTCTTCTCAAGCTGGGGACTGCGGCCAAGAACAACAACATCTTGCTTTATGGTGAGTCCAACTCTGGGAAGACTGGTTTGACAAGGCCTTTGATGCACATCTTCGAGAATCGCACCTTCTTGCGGCCCAATAAGGGAGATACGTTCCCCCTTATGGGGCTTGAGCAGCACCTCATCACGGTCTTCCAGGACTGGCGGCTGAGTTCCTCCCCCATACCGTGGGACACGTTGTTGCTGCTACTGGAGGGCGAGAGCGTCACTGCTGCCGTGAAGGGGGCCGGTTCTGTCCTGGTGCATTCGCCCCCGCCGGTCATCATGACTTGTCAAGCGAAGGTGCAGCCGCGAACTGCTAAAGGCGAGATTGATGAAGCCGAGCGCCTTGCTTTTCACAACAGGTTTCAGCTGAGGTGGCACTTCAAGTATGCTTTGCCGCAGGAACTGCGTGACAACAAGCTGAAACTTTGCTACCGTTGCAAGGGCTGTTACAGCAGGTGGATCAATGACAACTACCAGGAGTACGTCAAGCAAAATCCAGGCATTGATTCTGAGCTAGTGGACTTCGAGGAAGCTCTTGCGCGGACTTGCCCTTTGGAGAGCTCGGAGGCTGTGCCTTGGTGCCCAAAGCATTAGGTGTGCGTAGGGTTGTACGTGTTCGAAATCTTCGGGTTTGTTCCGAAGGTTCTAGTTTCTGCCAGGTTGGCCGGAAGCGGAAAGCCGAGCATCCACTGGCTTCGACTCCGTCCGAAGCGGCCCCTCCAGTGGCTTCGGAACCAGCTGTGCATGCGGCGCGACCGCTCTCTCTGCCTCATTCGTGGTCTGCGGAGTTCGGAGAGCATCCGACATCGACGCTTGCGCAGCCGTGGACTCCGCCGGGGTCGCCGGCGGAAGCTTCGTTTGGGGAGTCCTGGCCTGCGTGGACACCGCCGCGGACAGCAGCACCGCTTGAACATTTGGACGAGGAGCTTGCGCAGCCGTGGACACCGCTAGGCCCACCTCCTACATCGCCAGAAAATTCTCGGCTCTTGTCGCCTCATTGGGAAACGCCGCCGGAGATCCACGCAGCTTTCCGATCTCAGAGTGCTCAAGCCGTCTCCAGTTCGCAGAGCGACGCATTGTCATCGCCAGTGTGGCGAACACCGCCGGAGATTCTAGAAGCTTTCAGACAGGGCTTGTAACTGGCCTTGACGCAAATCAAAACAGCAGACGTGAGCGTCGGCATCATGATTGTTGTAGTGAGATTGCAGGAAGCGTTAGGGAGGACAGTTTCCGCAACCATATGTGTGAATCTGTTCAACTGGGCAGATTTGTTAGGCAGAATTTCCGCAATTGCTGTTTTTGAGCGCATGTCCTCTATCTAAAGACGTTTTTGTGCAACACGTTGCTTTCAGGCAGTTTGCGGAAAGATTTGAAGGCATGTTTTGGAGACATGCTGTTTTTGCACGCAGTCCTTTGGGAGCAACCCTTGTTGCCAAGAAGTCTGTCCGCCTTGCGGTCACTTGCCAAGGTTTCGATGCAACGTGCGTCTGGAAGGAGGCTTCGGAGGGAGAAGTTGAAGAAAAACAGAAGTTGGAGCATGTTTGCTAGGACTCGAAAAATGCTGGTGGACCGCTGGGGAGACCTCTTACAGGCCTCGTTGTTTTTGAACAGCTGTGTCGCTCGCTGGATTCGGATCCGCAAGATGCTGGAGACCTTCGTCCGGGGCACGCTCAACTCGGCAAGCTGGGACCCTGTAGCTGCTTCACTGGTGCTGTGCGGGCTCTTGCTTGGGATGGTTCAGGTTGTGCAAGCAAACTGTACATCTTCGGCGGCAACGAGGCAACGAGGTTAGTTCCGTAGTGGCGACTTCAGATCCTCTCTGAAGCACGGCAAAGCCTGCGCTCAGGTCCGAATGCTTCAGTCCTCAAGAAGGCTCCTGGGTGTCACTCGCCTTTCTTTCTGTGCCAGCCTGCTACTGCCGTTTGTGAAGGCCTTCGCCCAGCATGAGACATTCCACAGCGTGCAGATGTACGACCTCTCTAAAGGCCTCGTTGTTTTGACCAGCACTGAACGTGAACGCTTTCGCCAAGCAGGAGACCTTCAACCGTGCAAGTCTTGTACGTCCTCTCTAAAGGCCTCGTTGCTTTGAGCAGCACTGTACGCTCGCTGGACGTGGCACAGATTTCGTTTTGTCGGACACATCCTTGATCAGGTTGCTGGCTTGCTACGCCCTGACCTACCTGGAGCTGCTGAAGCTTGATCATCCAGCGGAGGCGGTTCACCTGCCCGGAGCTCATCCACATGTCGGAGTAAGCGCATGTTTGTTGGCTTGCTACGCCTTGACCACCTGGAGCTGCTCAAGCTTGATCATCCAGCGGAGGCGGTTCACCTGCCCTGAGCTCATCCACATGTCTGAGTAAGAGCATGTTTGTCAGGATCGGTAAACCATGACGTGTGACTGACAGGTCCGCAGGTAGAGAGAGAAAGAAAGAGAAAGAGGAGAAAGAGACGGGAGGAGAGCGAGAGAGAGGAAGAAAGAGGAAGAGTTCGATGTGAGTGTGTCGTTGTGGGAGTGGGAGCGTACGCGCGTTAGTTGTTTGCCTGACTTAGCACACACGATTCTGGGGGCGAGACACGGTATGTGCAGGTTTTGGCATAAGCCATCTTTTTCGAACTTTGGTCGGCTTGGTAGCGTACATTCTGGTTTTGCGCGTTGTGCCTTAGTTTCCAATAGGAACGGCTATGCCAAAAAGAAGTTCCAGGCTTGCAGTGCACGGTCGTATCGGTATGTGCAGTTTTGGCATAAGCCATTTTTTTCGAACTTTGGTCGGGTTGGTGGTTTTGCCTTGTGCATTCTGGTTTCGCGCGTTGTGCCTTAGTTTCCAATAGGAACGGCTATGCCAAAACGAAGTTCCAGGCCTGCAGTGCACGGTCGTATCGGTATGTGCCGTTTTTGGCATAAGCCATTTTTTCGAACTTTGGTCGGCTTGGTGGTTTTGCCTTGTACATTCTGGTTGTGCCTTAGTTTCCAATAGGAACGGCTATGCCAAAAAGAAGTTCCAGGCTTGCAGTGCACGGTCGTATCGGCATGTGCCGTTTTTGGCATAAGCCATTTTTTTCGAACTTTGGTCGGCTTGGTGGTTTTGCCTTGTACATTCTGGTTGTGCCTTAGTTTCCAATAGGAGCGGCTATGCCAAAAAGAAGTTCCAGGCCTGTAGCGCACGGTTGTATCGGTATGTGCAGTTTTCGGCATAAGCCATTTTTTTCGAACTTTGGTCGGCTTGGTGGTTTTGCCTTGTACATTCTGGTGGTGCCTTAGTTTCCAATAGGAGCGGCTATGCCAAAAAGAAGTTCCAGGCCTGCAGTGCACGGTTGCATCGGCATGTGCAGTTTTTGGCATAAGCCATTTTTTTCGAACTTTGGTCGGCTTGGTTTTGCCTTGTACATTCTGGTTTCGTGCGTTTGCAGTTGTGTGCCCTAGTTTCCAATAGGAGCTGTTCGGCAAGGAGCAAGTTCCAGGCCTGCAAGGCCGGGTATGTGCAGAGCCGCTTGAAAGACCGTTCCTATTGGAAACTAGGCACAACGCACGAAACCAGAATGTACGAGGTCAAAAACCAAGCCGTCCAAAGTTCGAAAAAGATTGCTTATGCCAAAAACTGCACATACCGATACATACCGTGCACCGCAGGCCTGGAACTTCTGTTTGGCATAGCCGCTCCTATTGGAAATTAAGGCGCAGATCTCGAAACGCCCAAAACCAGAATGCATGACGTAATCCAAGCCGTTTAAAGTTCGAAAAAAATTGCCTGCAGTGCACAGCGTATCGAGTATGTGACATTTGGCATAAGCCATTTTTTCCAACTTTTGGCTCGGGTTGGTGGTTTTGCCTTATGCATTCTGGTTTTTGCCGCGTTGTGCCTTAGTTTCCAATAGGAACGGCTATGCCCAGGTTGCTTGCAGTGCACGGTCGTACATGTGCCGCCGTTGCACTGCAGGCCAGGCATTTTTTTCGAACTTTGGTCGGCTTGGTGGTTTTGCCTTGTACATTCTGGTTGTGCCTTAGTTTCCAATAGGAACGGCTATGCCAAAAAGAAGTTCCAGGCTTGCAGTGCACGGTTGTATCGGCATGTGCCGTTTTTGGCATAAGCCATTTTTTTCGAACTTTGGTCGGCTTGGTGGTTTTGCCTTGTACATTCTGGTTGTGCCTTAGTTTCCAATAGGAGCGGCTATGCCAAAAAGAAGTTCCAGGTGTAGCGCACGGTTGTATCGGTATGTGCAGTTTTCGGCATAAGCCATTTTTTTCGAACTTTGGTCGGCTTGGTGGTTTTGCCTTGTACATTCTGGTGGTGCCTTAGTTTCCAATAGGAGCGGCTATGCCAAAAAGAAGTTCCAGGCCTGCAGTGCACGGTTGCATCGGCATGTGCAGTTTTTGGCATAAGCCATTTTTTTCGAACTTTGGTCGGCTTGGTTTTGCCTTGTACATTCTGGTTTCGTGCGTTTGCAGTTGTGTGCCCTAGTTTCCAATAGGAGCTGTTCGGCAAGGAGCAAGTTCCAGGCCTGCAAGGCCGGGTATGTGCAGAGCCGCTTGAAAGACCGTTCCTATTGGAAACTAGGCACAACGCACGAAACCAGAATGTACGAGGTCAAAAACCAAGCCGTCCAAAGTTCGAAAAAGATTGCTTATGCCAAAAACTGCACATACCGATACATACCGTGCACCGCAGGCCTGGAACTTCTGTTTGGCATAGCCGCTCCTATTGGAAATTAAGGCGCAGATCTCGAAACGCCCAAAACCAGAATGCATGACGTAATCCAAGCCGTTTAAAGTTCGAAAAAAATTGCTTATGTCAAAAATTGCACATACCGTGCCTGCAGGCCTGGAACTTCTTTGTGGCATAGCCATTTCTATTGGAAACTGAGTCACAATGCACGAAACCAGAATGTAGGAGGGCAAAACCAAGCCGACCAAAGTTCGAAAAACAACGACTTATGCCCGAAACTGCACATACCGTGCACTGCAGGCCAGGAATTGCTTTTTGGCCTAGCCTTTCCTATTGGAAACTAAGGCGCAGATCTCGAAACGCCCAAAACCAGAATGCATGACTTAATCCAAGCCGTGCAAAGCTCGAAAAAAATGGCTTATGTCAAAATTGCACAAACCGTGCCGGCAGGCTTGAAACTTGCTCGTTGCATAGCAGTTGGATTTGGAAAACGGGAGGATCTGCAAGGGAGGGTTGGGGAAGGACCTGCAAGGGAGGGGTTTGGGGACTTTGCAGAAAGGGATCTAGGGAGGATCTGGAAGGGAGGGTTTAGGGAAGGACGTGCAAGGAAGGGTTTAGGGGAATTTGCAGAAAGGGGTTTAGGGAGGATCTGGAAGGGAGGGTTTTGGGGAGGAGCTGCAAGCGAGGGTTTAGGGGAGAATTGCGATGTGCAAGGGAGGGTTGGGGAAGGACCTGCGGGTTTAGGGGAATTTGCAGAAAGGGGTTTAGGGAGGATCTGGAAGGGAGGGTTTAGGGAAGGACCTGCAAGGAAGGGTTTAGGGGAATTTGCAAGAAGGGGTTTAGGGAGGATCTGGAAGGGAGGGTTTAGGGGAGAATCTGCAAGGAAGGGTTTAGGGGAATTTGCAGAAAGGGGTTTAGGGAGGATCTGGAAGGGAGGGTTTAGGGAAGGACCTGCAAGGGAGGGTTTACGGGAATGTGCAGGAAGGGGTTTAGGGAGGAGGGTTTACGGGAATGTGCAGGAAGGGGTTTAGGGAGGATCTGGAAGGGAGGGTTTAGGGGAGAATCTGCAAGGAAGGGTTTAGGTGAATTTGCAGGAAGGGGTGTAGGGTTGATCGTTGGGGAAGGACCTGCAAGGGAGGGTTTAGGGGAATTTGCAGAAAGGGGTTTAGGGAGGATCTGGAAGGGAGGGTTTAGGGAAGGACCTGCAAGGAAGGGTTTGGGGGAATTTGCAGGAAGGGGTTTAGGGA